CCCAACCAACCACCCCACTGCCCCACTGCCCAGTCATCCCATTGACTTCCTCACTGAGGATTGATATCTCCTCCGTTGGCTGCCTGCTGCTCATCTCATGCAGTGATAATGAAGGCTGTGGAGGACAAGAAGCTGGATGTGGGCGACATGAAATTTCTCATCGAGGACCTTGAAGAGCCGGAAGATGAGCAAGGCGGAGAGGAGCAGATGGTGGGGGACGAGTCCGGTGAGGAGGGGGAGAAGGAAGGCGAGTACTGGGACGACAGCGAGGAGGAGCCAATCGACCTCTACCTGGGCGAAGACGGGCAGCTTTACACGCCAGACGGCGAACTGGCACCTGTCGACCTGGCGCCCGAACAGCTGGAACTACTCAAACAGAACCTGGAGCAACGTACGCCCACACACCCATACCCATACCCTGCATCGCCCCAGACGAACACACAGAGGGGTGTGGTGGTGTTTCTGTGGACGTGAATGTAAATGGATGGATGGATGTGTGTCAGACGGTGACGGTGAGGTCTTCTGGTTCGAACAATCGGACCAAGACGATTTGGATGTCAACATCGACACCACCACCGCCACCACCAGCACTGTTCCCGCCCATGACGATCGCCCCCTTTCCCTCGACCACCCCGAGGAGCGGCCCTTCCCCCGCACAGCCCTCCGCGCACACCCACTAGGGCAGCACCCAGAGATGGAGAGCCACCAAGAGGACGGCATGGCCCGGCTGCGTGCGATTCGCAAGGCTGGGCAGGAGCAGGCTGGCGGTGTGTCGGGTGCGGACCTGGGTCCCTTTGCAGAGAGCGAGGACGAGATGGGGACGTTCACCGTGTCTGGCGACCCACAAGCACTGCTGGAGCACTTGAGGTCGTCTCCCGAGGCCCTCCGCAGCAAGGCCAGGATACGGGAGTCACTCGGGCTCCCACCATCACCTGACGTAAGCGCTTAAGCCTTAACAGGCGACACGCAATACACACAACACAGCAAAGCACGCCCCACCCCACCACACCACAGCACACCTTTGTTTCGTTATCTCCCTCACTGCCAGGCCGAGGCCGTCCCCGCCAGCCCCACAGATGCCAGCACGGGAGATGACATTGACCTGGTTAAGCTGGGCATCTTGAAGGTCGTCAAACACGACGAGAGGACCACCAGAGGAGAAGATCGGCAGCAGCAGGGTGCAGAGGGGGGCCAGGGTGACGCACTAGACAGGCTGATAGGTCGAGTCGCGTATGACAGGGACATGGATGAGGACGGGGCTGAAGGGGCAGGGGCAGAGGATGAGAGCTGGGCGGAGAGCGTGGAGCCGTCGAGGCTCGTGCCACCCGACTGGAAGCAAGAGGTCAAGGAGTAAGCGAGCGGCCGACACATGAATGCATTGCATGAGCCACCCAACCCCCACCCCAATCCAATCCAATCCAATCAATGTCTGTGTGTCTCCCCTTTGTGCATCCATCATCGATCAGGATGGAGCGGTCGGATGACGCCGAGGGTCTGTATCTGCTGGGCACCGCCATCCTGTCGGACATACTGGAGGACTTCGACAGCGAGGGACGACTCACCGACGCCGCCAGGCAAGACATGGACGACGGCGGGGAGGCAACGGGAGCAGAGGATGAGGACAATGCTGATGACGACGAGGAAGAGCTCTTCAAAGCGTCTAGGATCGCATTCGAGTGGATCTACGCCAGGGTGGGGGCCACACACACGCACACACTGGAGCCGAGCCGAGCCGAGCGTGAGCGTCATGCATGTCCTGTTGTTCCATCCATCGTTGGGTCCATCGCAGATAGTCCGTTTCCTCATCCGGGCTGGCCGTGTGGACCTGGCCTACGCTTTCCACAGACAGCGGCTGGCGGCCCACCGCACCACCACTGCCACCATGCTGGGTCCCCTGGTGCCCCGCAACATCACCATCGCTCTCGCCTGGGCCGCATGCACGCAGCAAGAGATCCATCCGCCAGACATAGACGAGGAGGATGAAAGGGAGCTGGAGCTGGATTGGCGCGAGGCGATCAATGGTGTGGCGGTGGCACGGGAGCTGATGGGTGTTCTGGGTGAGACGGGGGTCGAGTGTGCTGACCTGGTCTTGCCGCAGATCGCCATCGCCATGCTCAAGGTGGGTGGGTGGGTTGGTGGCAGGCAGGCAGGGAATTAAGGGGAGAGGAGAGGAGCTTTGGTTGTCTGTCTGTGCCCTGTCTCTCTCTCCTTGTACTGTGTATTGTATGTCCGCAGCGAGGGTCGATCGAGGACGCAGTAGCCGTGCTGGATGAGGTGCTCTCCCGAATCCGCCGAGGCGACGCAGCGCCGACACTCGACATTCTCAACACACTCATCAGGTGACTGACTGGTGCACTCACGCATAGGTCACACACGCGGCTTGCGGGCATAGTTGACACTGCTGCGCTTCGCTGGATGGTATCCAGGGAGTGCGGTCGTGCTGGTGGTGTGGTGGGTGGTGTGTTCACCGTGCTGGACATGATGGCCGAGGCCGACCTGACGCCCAACCACGACACCTATGAGGCCATCGTGCAGGCAGTCGTGGCGGGCGTCGACTTCGAGAAGAGCTGTGCCGCCATGGCTGACCTCCCCACTCCCGAACGACCCATACCTGAGGTATACGGTACACAGAGGACCGAAAGACACCCATGCATGGCATGCGTCTGTGTGCTGGGATGGCATGCAGGTGGTGTTTGTGGGTCGATCCAATGTGGGCAAGTCGTCTCTGGTCAACATGGTGCTCAACCGCAAGCAGCTCGCCAGCACCTCCGAGACCGCCGGCCACACGCGCACGTTCGACTACTACCGGTGCAACCGCAACCGCACAGACGGCCGGCCTGAGTTCTACCTGGTGGACGTGCCGGGGATGGGCTTCGCCGAGAACGTCAGCAGGGGCATGCAGGACTCGTGGCGAGGCCTGCATGAGCGGTACTTCCGGGTGCGGGAGTCGCTGCGGGTGGTCTTCCACCTCATCGACTCACGGAGGCCACCCATGAACACCGACGTCACTCTCATGAACATGGTGCGGACCCAGACGCACTTCACTTGTTGTTTGCACCATGTTTGTTTTGACACACGTGCTGTGTGTGTGTATACCAGGTGCGTGAGGCCCTTGACGAGCGGCCGGCGTCTCAGCGGTTTGCTTATGTGGTGGTTCTGACCAAGGTCGACAAGATCGGCTACCGCGAGACGTCTGTGAAAAAGGCCGTGGAGCAGACCGTCGAGTGCCTCACAAGCCGGGGCGGGTGGCCGGCATCCCACCTGCCGCCCATCATCACCTCGTCGGCAGCCAAGAAGACTCGACACGGGCGGGACGACATCTGGAGGCACATGAGGGCGGCTTTCTCACCCGCAGAGGCCCCCGGCCCCCCAGCCTCACTCTCGCGGCCGGCGCCTGTGTCTGTGTCCATCCCAGATGGCCCGTGGAGTGCGTCATGGCTGGGTGAGAGGTCGATAGAAGAGCTCCGCGAGATGTGCCGGGGGGAGGGGCTGACGGTGTCGGGCAGCAGGCACCAGCTGGTCGACAGGCTGATGGGCAGGGAGAGGGAGAGGGCGAAACAGACACAGACGGTGGGGGAGAGGGGAGAGGGGCGTGTGCTGGTGGGTGGTAGGACCTGACGGATGGATGGATGGATGGAGGCGTGTTTGTCTGTTTGTTTGTGACGTGACTCGGCTCTCTGATTGATGTGATGTTGTCGGACACAATGAATGCGGCTGGCTTTACGGATAGCTAGACAGGCAGTCAGACACATAACATGTATGTCTGTATGTCTGTCTGTCTCAACGGCACGAAAACGGACAAACACACACACCAACACAAGGGCAAACAAACGCACGCAAACACGTAATTTACAGACAGACAGACCAGCCATCCACCCCTCCAGGATCCGATCCACCAACGGTCAAAAAGTATCACATCGTCTGTCTGTCTGTCCTATCTGTTGCGCCACCGACGTGTGTGAGCGTGTGTGCTTGCGTGTGTTCATCCATCCATCCATGTGGGTGGGTGTGGTGCTGGGTGCGTGCGTCATTCGCTCATGGAGGTGTCTTGGTTCTTCTTGTTTTCGTTCCACCACTCGACAAACTCGTCAATCAGCACAGGCCACGCACCTGATCCATTCAGACAGACAGACACCATGGATGGATGGATGGATGGACCATCAGGTTTTTGCGCGCTGGTGGGTGTGCGCGTGGGTCGATGCGATGCGCTGCGCGTACCGTCTCCGTCGTAGTTGGAGAGGTCGGGGCTGATGGTGGTCGCCAGGTCGTACAACATCTGCACCAACACACACACACACACACATACACACGTGTGCCTGCTCTTCTCTGTGAGCTCCATCCACCGTCGGCAGACACGTACACACCATCCAGGTGTCCTTGGTGACGTTGTTCTTGCAGTGATCCTGCCACCCACAGACACGCCCACACACACACAGAGGTCACTTGTCCGGCTGGCTCTGAGTGTGGATGTGTGTGTATGTGTACCTTGACGAACTCGAGCCAGTCGTCCAGAAGGGTGAAATGGTCCCTGACACAGACAGAGATGATGTGTTGGCACAGAGAGAGAAATGTCCACAGACAGAGAGAGAGATGTGTTGGGTCTTTCGTCCGTAGGCGCCTCGCTCACTCACCGCAGCAGCATCTTCCAGAACTCAACACACATCTCAAGCGCTGCACACACACACACACACACACAGCACACGGACACCTCTACATATGTTTGTGTGGTGTGCGTCTTCGGTTGACGATTACGTAGGGTGCGCTGTCCCTGGTCGAGTGCGAACTGAAAGGTGAAGCCGTAGATGTCCTTGCAGCGAACCCTCTCCTACACAGACAAACAGACAGACAGACAGACAGACAGACAAACAGAGAAACGACACACACAGCAACACAGGCATGCACCCACCCACACGCACGCTTCGCTTCGCTTTGCTGGCTGGCTGGCTGACCTTGAGTGTCGCCCGCATCTCTGGCAGCTTGTCCCTCAACCTCTCCACCGAATCAACACTGATCGATCAACCACACACACACACACACAGACATAGTGCAGCCGGCCACGCTACCTGTAGGCCAGTGCCTACCCCGACGGGCTCAGCTGCTCACCCGAGTGCGTTCATGCCCTTGGTGAACTCGTCCTTCGTAAACACACCTGTTAGTGCCGCCCACACAGTCACACAGCCAGCATAGGCGTGGCATGCACGATTGCGCGGCCGGCCGGCCAGGCGCGCACACGACCGCCAGACGTACCCATGTTCTTGGCGCCGCAGTGGTAGCCCAGCACCAGGGTGACGGGATCACTCACCTCCACCCCTAACAGACAGACGTGCACACAAGAGCGACACCGATATGTGCGTGATGTTTCCTTTATTGCCTCTGCCTGGCTGCCTGGCTGCGTGCATACCGACCGATGTCTTTGCACAGCTGCTGGGTGCCGTCGATGCCGATGTGCTCCTCCATCGCATTCGGGTCGTTCTCTGACACACACACACACAGGCAAGGAGAGCAAAGCTTTCTCTGTATGTGTGTTGCATCCTTCGTGCTGGCTGGTCTGTCTGTGTGGTTGGTTACCTTTGTATTTCTTGAAGAAGTTCTCGAGTTTCTTTGTGTCCGTCTTGGGGTTCTTGGCCGAAAAGGAATTGCCTGCAGACAGACAGACAGACACACAGACAGACAGAAAGGCATGTCCCCCCCGTCTGCACATACTTGGTGCCTGGCTATCCATCCACCCACCCATCTTTGCACCTCTCTGCACACACCCCCACTCACGCACCTTCAGCAAAGAAATTGTCCACAGCCTGGTCGAGGGACCTAATCATACAGACAAGCATGTTATGTCAGTCATGAGATCAGACCTTCTGGTGCATTTCAGAGTGCGGCGCACCAGCTGAATCGTTTAAGGTAGTCATTGGCCACCTTCTGCGGCGCCCCCGTCACATTCTGGAACTGAGTCACCTTCTCCCGCTGCGCCTTGTTCTACGCCACGCCATGCGCGCACACACACAAGACGGGCACACAACACAACACGCCCATGCAGAAGAGCCAACACAGAGAGAGATGCGATGAAGATCATTCTGTGTGATGATGTGCTGTGCGTCTCTGTCGCCGGCCTGCTCATATACCATGGCAGCGGTATCTGCGTTGGTGTGTCGTGGTGCCTCTCTGTGGCACCAGCAGAAGAAGAGCTTGACGAAAGACGACAGGCACTTCAACTCCACTGTGGTGGAAGGAAATGCTCACTCACATCCACTCACTCCTTGCGCCTCGCCCTTCTTAGCACCTTTCCCCTAGCAATCTAAGCTCGCAGGGTGTGTATCTCCCGGGGCGCACCTGTCTATGTGGATGTGTGTGCATGCGCTCTGATTTGCAATGAGCGAGCAGCACTGGAACCAGACAGGCAGACAGGCAGACAGGCAGACAGACATTCACAGCCACACGTCCGTCATGGTTCATTCACACACACGCATCATGCATGATGCACACGAGAGCACGTCCAGCATTTCAATAGATATCCCTTTGTCCAGACAGCACTGTGTGTGACAGCCACAGAGGGGCACAGAGGAAGGAAGGGATTCTGCGTGTCATCACCAGCCATGGCCGTGTGGTGTGGTGTGGGGATGGGATGCATGCACCACACATGTACAGGCTATACGCAGCAGGGTGATCTATCGACTGGCATGCAGGGTCAGGCAGACAGACAGTCAGGCAGATAGGCGTCAGAGATAGACAGACAGACAGACAAACAAGCGAGAGAGAACCAGAGCTTTACTCAGAGAGAGGTAACAGACAGACAGACAGACGAGCGGGTCGGCAGGCAGAGGCGGGCATCATGCGCCTGACGAAGACCCGGCCGCAAGGGAAGGATATGAACACCCTTCCGGCGAGGCTCCCGCCAAGCTCACGACGGTCATGCACCGCACCCACTCAGCCACTCGTCCATCAATCACCCCGTCTGCGGAGGTCAGCTCAGCTACTTGACTTTGTCGAGGCACTCCCACATGCTGATGCTGGCTCCCCTGATGACGACCATGCCGATGTCGTGCTTCTCGGTCGGCGACACCACCTCGACGGTGTTGTCCAGCACGATGTTCATGAACTGGTCGTACCCCCGCAGCACGCCTATCACGTGCCGATTCGCGTTCAGACGAACTGATAATAAGCAGATAGACCAACAAACCGGACAGACAACAGACACACACAACACACACAACACACACACAAACAAAACAACACACACGCGCAGAGAGAGCGGTGAGTGCCAGGTCAGATCCTGCTGCACATGTGGTGTGTGTGTCGTTGCTTACTGTCGAGTCTTCTGTCCATGAACTTCCTGAGGTCGGCACCAGGCCCTGCCTTGCCTGCTGACGCCATCCCGCTGATCCTTTTGGGCCTTCCTCAAACCCTAAACCCTTGAACCCTAACCCTGAGCAGCTGCTGGGGTGAAGCGTTGCGTTGGGCCGCGGATGCCGTAAGATAGCTATCATGCAGGACCAGTATGAGTATTACCACCAGCTGCCGCCTCACTTGGTCCATGCCGTCCTGCCCGAGTCGAGTGCGCCTCATGATCCCGCCTTTGAGGGTCTCCACCCCGTCCCTCTCCCTCCCCAGCACGACGCCAAGGGGTGGAATGCCATCGTGCGCTTCACGACGATCCTGGGGGTGCAGGTGGTGCGGCATCAGGCCAAGCGCATGGAGGCGGCCGCCAGCATCATGGCTCTCGTAGTCAGGCGCATGCACAAGGAGCAGCAGCGGGCGGCGTTTCGCAAGCTGCTGGACCACTCACGGCAGGGCGCCTTCGAGGCCTTCAAGCAGAGATCCGAGCAGATACTCGACAAGTGAGTGGAGTGAGTGGCGCAGATGAGTGAATGAAGGCACAGCTGGCCATGACGACGCAACTGCACATTGGTTGTGTGTGTGGTGTTGTGTGTGGTGGTGTGTGGTGGTGCGGTGGTGGTGTTGCAGGTTGGATAAGCTAGTCGAGAGCTTGTCGGCACACGATTTTGCCAAGGGGGAGTTGGAGGAGTATGTCGAGAAGATGATCGACCAGTACGCAAGCGCACACACAACTGACTGCCACGCTTGGTACAAACTGGTTGGCTTCTGTCCTGTCATGGTGCTGGTGTGTGTGCAGAGATGCGGGCTACGTGCTTGCGGAGCAGTGACGGGCGGCCAAATGAGGCGGCAGACACGACAGACACGTGGGGTGTGGGTATTAGTATGGGTGTGATATATATCTCGGTGCTGGCGGGTGGTGGATAGGAAAGCACCACACGCGTGTGTGTCACAATTGGGGGCTCGCTGTGTGTCAATAGTTAGTGCGTGTGTACAGTGGAGGGAGGGATGGATGGATGGATGGAGGCCTGGGGGAGGGGGGGTCTCTTGCTTGCTCTTTGGCCGGTCGGCTGGCTGGCATGCGTTCGTCATTGGACTACTCTCTCTGCCTGCCTTGCTGTGCGTTTGTTAGGGCGAGAGGATCGCTGACCTGCGGGATGGATGCTTCCAACGAGAGCCATCGGTTTCACGACCATCAGCCTCTGGCGAGAAATAAATCATCCGGTGTCTGTCTCTTGGTGTCTCGGTTCTCTCTGTGGACTCGCTGGTGGAACAAGCCATCCATCCCTGCAATGGGAAAGATGTATGTCTGGTTCCGGTGTGTGTGTTTCCTTGGTCCGTTCAAGTAGTCATTGTTGGTTGATTGCACAATTAAGGCATTAGTCCGGCCATCCTAGCTGGCTAGCTAGCTACATAGCTATCAATCACGTCAAGAGGCCCTCAGAGAAAGAAACAAAGAGATAGACAGACAGCCGTCAGGAAGGCAGGTAGCCGCTAACCACAATGTTCATCTGAGCCACTCCATCATCCTCCAATTCTACACAACACACACTAGCTAGAGACCAGACCGGTCGCCACACACCTGACCTGCAGTGAGTGGCCCGTCCGGTGGCTCGGCCAACACACACGACGCTGTTGCTGCTCAAAACACCGGCCGACGAGTGGTGTGCTGAGCGCCAACAAGATCGACGTGTCAACCGAGCGAACCGGACCGAGAGACGACTAGTGACCGGTCACACCACCGATCCTTGTCTGTCTGTCTGGTAGCAGCGGCTAGGCAGGTTGCAGGCAGAGAGGTACCGGTAGGTAAGCCTGCCCGTCTGTCCTGTCTGTCTGTCTGTCTGTCTGTACAGAGTGTGGCATGCATGGCATCAGTCAGCTGCTGATCCGATCCACCATTCATCCCCGACGGTCGTAATACAGTCGGTGGACAATGGGCAGACAGACACAGAATGAATGCGTTTCTGTCTGCTGGCTGTCTCTGTCGTCTCGTCTAGTTACATCCATCCATCCATCCGTCTGCAAAAGGTGGATGAGTAAGTGGACCGGACCGCATGCATGGGGCGGCATAGATAGCTATGAATTGACATACGTATACACACGTCTAGCCATCCAACTGCCCCGCGAAGCTTCCGAGTATTCACACGCAACGCAACGCAACGCAACGCAACGCAGCAGCATCGAGCGAGTACCATCTCACCACCCACCCACCCGCACCTAACCCACCCCTGTCTCTGTCTCTGTCTCTGTCTCTCTATGCAGGTAGTACGTCATCGATCGTCGGTCCTCATCTGCCTACCCGCTATGGTATGTCGGCCATGCATCCATCGTGACGGCCAGTCAGCCAGCCAGCCAGCCAGCCGGCCCACTAACCTTACAAACACAACTAGGCAGGCACCGCCACACTCCTCACTTGACGCACCTCATCTGTCGCGGCTGCCATCACTGCGGATGAGGAGAGGTGGTTCGTGAGAAATCTGCTGCAAGGAAAAACAGACACACATCGATGCTTCACACGCAGGGGCAAATGGCCTTTCTCTGTCTGCGTGGTGACTTGACTGCTTCATTTACCTGCAGCACACACAGGCTAGCTAGAAGAATGCGGGTGAGGTGGAGCCGGTGTCCCACGCGGGACAAAAGAACAGGCCCTCAGGACTAACCTCTACCGCCGATGGCGATGAAGCCACCTCGCCCACCGCCATGGCCATGGACAGCCCGCCGCCGCCCGCAGGCCCCCCAACCGCTGCTCCTGGTGCGGGCGTGTCGACGGGATGGGTGGCCGCTTGGTGGGCCGCCAGGTGCTTCATGACCACCCGGTAAATCACCCATACTATGCGCAACAGCAGCGCCATGATCAGTGCCGTCTGCAGTATAATGGATGGATGGCGGAAACACACACACAGAGGGAGGGAGGGAGCAGGGACGAGGGATGAGTGAGGCAAGGGAAATAAATGACGAGTCGGCTCTTCTCCCGATCTGACTGACTGACTTGACTGCCCACCCTCACTGACTGACCATGACATGGCTGCCTGTGGGCCAGTCGCCCCCACCCCACTCGCTGTCCATGAGCCACCCCCAGAACCCCTTGCTCTCCTCCTCGTCTATCGTCTGCATGTCGCCACTCCCGCCCGAACCACCACCAGTACCCTCCTCCTCCCCGTCATGCTGATCCTGCTCCGCATACGGCCCATGCCGGCGGTGGCCACGGTCTCCATACTCGTGAGGAAATGCGCGTCGGTCGCCCCCATTGTCGTGGGGGAAGATGTAGTCGTGTTCGTCGGTCTCCCCCTCCTCCGCCCGCCCGGCCACCACATCGGCCCACGAGCGGTCCCTGTCACGGGACGACCGCCGCATGCCCATGCCCATGCCCATGCCCACGCCGCCCTCGCGGCCGAGCGGCGAGGACACCGACAGATGCTCGCGACCAGACATGGTGACCCCACCATGCCAGTTGATGTCACGGTCGCCCTCGTCCCGCGGTGCCTCCCGTCCGCCATCGTCGCGCATGCCCCTCACAGCGACCAGTGGCTTGCCGCCTCCGGACACGACGGTGCGGCTGCGGCCGATGGGACGAGCAGTGGGGTCCCGGAAAGAGCCCTCCTTCTCGCGCTGCCTCTCGCGGGTGGTGCGGGTGTCGCGGTCCATGAGCAGGTCCGCCTCCTGTCTGTCTATGTCGATGCTGTCGTGTTGGTCGTTGGTGTGAGTGTTGGTGTAGGCCTGGAAGCTGTCACGGTGGAGGGAGCGGTCTCGGTCGTCACGTCTGCTCTCACGCATGATGCCGCTGCCCATCCCGCCTGGGCGACGCCAGGGGGCCGCCTCAACCTCACTGCATTCATGACACATGACACCCCCCCATGATTGGCCTACAAAGAACCAACCGTATCAGGTAGCTCCGTCACTTACTTGTCGTCTCGTGAGTCCTTTCGGCGCCAGTTGTCATCCATATCTGCTCGCGACCGTGCGGTCCCACCTCCTGCGCCCGTGCTGGCGGCCCCGCCAGCTGCGGTGCGCCTGGCGCCATCTCGGCCACTAGGAGAGTTGCTCTGGTTGTCCCAGCGGTCGGGGCCCTTGCTGACGCGCCAGTCGGGGTGGCGGGCCTTGTCTTCCTCCTCTTGTGTGGTGGTGTCTTGGCGGCCCTGTGTGTGGCCCTTGAGCAGGACGGACGAGAGGGACTGATATATGGGAAGAAAGAACGAAGACGATGTGCATGCAATGCATTGACTGACGACCAGATCAGTGAGTGTGTGAAGTGTCATGTGCTCGTCTGTAGGTGTGTACCTTGGACGGCGTCTTGGCCGGTTTCTCCTCACTCTGTGTGTGTGCAGTCGTCCCCAGGCCCTCCGGCTCGCCCTCCCATCCGTCGTCAGCCTCGCCCCCCGCCGTCACCTGGGCACCACCTGCGTCACGTCACACAATACAGACCGACCAACACGCCACGCCCCATCAGCCAGCGCCCCAGTAAGTATTTGGTGCGTGTCGTCGTGCTCACTTCGCACCTGTGTCGTGTTGCTTCTCGGTCGTCTTGGATCCGTCGCCCGTCCTGAGTATGTCGAAGCACTGGGTCTGGATGAGCGCCTCGCCCTCGTGGACGGCGATGGTGCCCTGGTTGGACGACAGCGACACCGACCAGTCGGACGGCCCGCCCTCGGTGCTCTGCGAGTCGGTGTGCGGGACGGTCGACAGTTTGACGTTGAAGAAGCCCTCGGTCGCGCCACGCTTGACCAGCTGGTTCTTACGGGTCGGGGTAATTTGGTGGTCGTCATGGGGGTCCACACCGTTCACCTCTGCCAGACAGACAACACAAACCAGCCAGGAAGGAGCACCCATCCGTCTATCGATGAGTCTCTCTGTCTGTCTGTCTGTCTGCATCGGAGGTACGGTTTTTGGGTGTCTTGGCCCCTCTGCCGCCAGGCGCGAGTCGCATGCCGCTCTTGAGCAATGGCGGCGGGGGAGCCGCGCCACCCAGCTGCTTCCGCCCACCCAACGACGCACCAACACCACCCCCACCGCCAGACGACACACCGTGATGCTTGCCGCGGTGCTGCTGGCGGGCGTCCTCCTCGCTCTCAGTCTTTGCCAGCAGGGCGGCGAGGGCCTCGACGAGACCCGTGCCCCCACCCTGGTCCTGCGTGATGGTGTGGGTGTGGGTGTCTGGATGGTGTGTGGGTGGGGGAGGCGGGGGGACCGGGTGTGAGTCTGTGTCCTGGATCGGGGCGTTCTTGCTGCCGCGGCCGCGGCGCTTGCGGGACTGGACCACCTCCCATGACGACTGCACCACCCGACAGAAAGAGAGAGACCCATTCATTCGTCAGTCGTGGTTCTTTTCTCCCCACCCCCTTTCGCTGTCAGGTACGCTACCTGCTCAGCGTCCCCCTGTTCGTGTTTCTCTTGGCCGCCCTGCTCCTCCTGTATCTTGGCCATCATCTTCTGTGAGACGCTCTTGACAGGCGGTGCGTCCCATGTGTCGTCGTCTTCGTCGTGTCCGCAGCTGCCGGCCATCTCGTGTGAGGAGTGAGACTGCTTGGCCGACGAGGGGGCCGTGTGCGCCGTCGGCTCCTCGGGGTCGTGGCGAAGCACCGAATGCTTCTCCGGCAGGACAATGCTGCGGCAAGGAGGGAGAGAGGAGGTTGGTGAAGGTGATCTGGCGGCACGCTGTGCTGTGCTATGCTCTGCTTACTTGGTGTGTTCTTGGGAGTCGTCCACCATGTCCTCCCAGCTGTCTACAGCACCCTTGGTTGCCTTGACAACGCCAGCCTAACACCCACCCACACAGAGGGAGGGGCATACGCAACGCATACGTGTGCAGCGAGCTCTCCAGATCTGATGTGGGTACTACCTGTATTGTTGCGTCCGTATCGAGAGTCTTTGGCGCGTCCGGTGCTTTCGCCGCCTCCTTGCCGTCCTTGCCGCCTCCTTTGCCGTCCTCCTTGCCCCTCAGCCTCGCTCCGTCTGCCCCCACCCCGCCGCCAGTGGTGCTGGCCTTGATAGGTTCACCGACGTCTGCCTTCTGGCCGCTGCCGTCGCCACACGTGACCACACCTGACGCAGAGCACGGGCAGAGTGATGGTGAGTGTCATCTCATCAGGAGTCAGTCCACATACGGATGGTTAGTTAGATGAATGAATGAGTGCGCACCGACCGCACCTGCTGTGTTCGGTGTATCTTGGTCTGCGGACGCGTTGCTGCCGGGTGCGGATGAGTCGTGGGTGTGGCCTTCCTTGGTCGGGAGGCCGTGGTCGTCCACCTCACCATCACCCACTTTGCCACCCGTCACTCCCAGGCACACAGGCTGACCGGCAACCTCGCTCTCGGCCTTCGTACTGACTGCAAGTAAGGACACGATCAGATCCACAACATGCATGACACATACAACAGGACGCTCCTGTGTGTCTGTCGGTGTCTGTCGTGAGTTGCGTACCGTTCTGTGTGTCCATTGCTGTGCTGGACAGCCTTGCTTAGAATAGATAAGATAGATAGATAGACACAACACTTCCCGGCTCTCGCGCCAACAACTCTCGCACGTATGGCCTGCAGGGCCGACAGTCGTCTGGGGTCTCACCGGGTGCGTCGCGTATGTCTTGAAAAGCCGATGTGTCTCATCACTGCTTACATGCACAGCTCACTGCCACTGCCACTGCATTCCTTCCTGAGGCTACACTCAGCCGAACAGAAACGTCCGACCGACGGGATGACAGACGAGTCAGCACCCTCGAAGTGGGCCAGGACGAAGTGAACGGGGGAACAAGCAAGTGCTGATTGATACGGTGGGCGTGGGCTGAGAGTAGCTGGGCTGGGACAGCCGGTGAGACAGGCGGGATGGGTGGAGACCACTGAGAATCGGTACAGCGCCTCACAGGAGCCCTATAATGCGCAAAAGTGCGACGAAAGGGAGCCCGAGAAAATGGGAAGCTCGCATCGACGCAATCTGATCTCGCAGGTGCCGCTGCCCGCAATGGATGGCCCAGGGATTCGAATCCTGCACTCGGCAGCCAGTGTGCTGCTACATCTTGTATTGTGCTCAGGAGCGAAGGATGCACCGACCTCGGCAGCGTTCGTCATCCAGGCTGCCCCGCTCATCAGACCAGCAGCAGCAAGACCGAAGACCGGCCTGTATGCGGAAGCAAATGGGCCAGGCGTCGCCATAGCAGAGGCACAGGCAGATCCTGTTGGCAGTGATTCAGAAGGTGATGCCGCCACCATGCCGTCCCTTGTCGAGAGCACGACCAAGGTCCCAGTCAGCATTGAACAAGATCATGATGGTGGTGCAGAGGACAACAGCTCCGTCAGCCATCTGCAGAAGACCATTCGTGACTTGTCTGTGCCTGCCCTGTTGGGAAATCTGGTTGATCCGGTAAGTAAGGGGGTTGGAGGGAGGTAATCAAGGTGGGAGACTCGTTCCATGCCATGGGGGGAGTGAGTGGCGTCATGCCATGTCATGTGTGTGTCGCTCGCTACTTCACTTGTGTGTGGGTTCGGTTCAGGCTCTTTCAACCATTGACAACATTTATGTGGGGCGAGGGCTCGGTGCGACTTCTTTGGCCGCTTTGGGGCCGTGTATCTCTATCTTTCACGTCAGCTTCGGGATCTTCAGGGCACTCATGCAGTCAACCACATCGCTCGTTGCTCGTGCACTGGGCGCGAGAGACAACGACCGAGCCGGCGAACTGGTCGTGCAGTCTTCATTTCTCGCTGTCGGGATGGGAGTCATCATCGCGGCAGCGCTGCAGCTGCTGTGTGGGCCGATCCTAGGCTGCATGGGAGTGGGTGCGGTCGGCGTTGACCCGCTGGCACTCGATGCACGGGCTTATCTGAAGGCTCGAGCGTGGGCAGCCCCTTCAGTGGTCTTCACACAAGTTGCTGAGGTTAGTCAGCCATACACAGGCTGGGCTGATGCAGACAGACAGACAGACAGACAGACAGATCCATCCATGATGACCTTGTGCCCACCCATTCACCCACAGGGAGCCTTCCGTGGTTTTGGTGACACCAAAACGCCCCTTTTCGCCTCCCTGTTGGCAGCTGTCGTGAACCTGATCCTTGATCCCATCATGATATTCTCTTGCCAATGGGGCACTGCTGGGGCAGCTGCCGCCACAGCCGTCGCCCAATACGCTGCCGCTCTCACTTATGCCGTTCTGTTCTACCGTCGGCGTGAATCGATGCGCCTCAAGGTCCCCTCACTTCAAGGTGGGTGGGTGAGATGTCAGTCCCTGCCCACCATGCATGCCTGCCTGATTTCTGCGTTCCATAGTAGTACACTGACCGCATGTGTGTGTGAGTGCAGGTTTGTCGTCCGCCGTGACGACGCTGCGTAGGTATTTGTCGGCCTCGAGTGCGATGCTTGTCCGGAGTTTCTCTCTGCTGGTGTGCTGGGCCACCATCACTGCGTCGGCCACCAAGATGGGCGTCGTCCACGTGGCTGGTATGGATGGTGTACTCACCAGACACCGCGCCGCGGCCGGATGGATTCATTCGGCTGTTTACTGCTGTTTGTGCACATATTTGTGTAGCTCACAATGCAATACTGCAGCTGTTTCTCATCTTTGCCATGGGTGGAGAGGCAATCGCCGTCTCAACACAGGTCAGTCACACACAGCACGGCACGAGATCCCATATATTCACTGGCTGGCCTCCAAGCACCTGTTCCTCCCAAGACTCGACGCTCTGTGTGACTGCTCTTCGGTCTCTCAGGTGTTGATCGGTCGCTATAGTGGCGCCAAGCAGCCCAAGCAGATCGGTCAAGTGCTGAAACAGTGTCTCAAGATAGCAGCGGCATGCAGCTGCCTCCTCAGCGGCCTCCTCTTCGCTCTGCGGCCCTCAATCCCGAGCTGGTTCGGGTCTGATGCAGCAGTCCGTGGGCGCCTCTTGTCCCTCATCCCCGTCGTGGCTCTCCTGGAGCCGCTCACCTGGCTGGTGCTGGTGTTCGAGGGCAGTTTGGTGGGTATGGGACGGTTCAAGTGGCTTGGGGGCAGCATGCTCTTGGCAACCTTGGCCAGTGCGGGGATCATCAGGCACATCGCACGGCTGCCGGGGGCTGGGATCAGGTAGGTCAGTCTGCCTGCGCTCGACAGGGAGAGGGGGAGGGGCAGGGTGTGTGTCCATCTTGACATTTGCTGTGATGTGTGTGCAGGTTGTTGTGGATTGGTGGTGTATGGTCTCTGTTCCTCCAGCGGCTGGTGTATGCGGGCATTGGCCTCTATCGGTCACACAGGCAGAGGCAAACACAGGCAGCCCACTTGAGCAATAACAAGCTCAAGACAGTGTGAGAGAGGGGAGAGGGGAGGGGAGGGGGGAGAATGCTAGTGTGGCTGGTTGTGTGCACTGAGTGCATCTATGGGCGTGTGGGTAAGGTAGGTGCTGTAGTTGGTTGAAGAACTGTGTGTGCTGTGTGCGTTGTGTGTGTGGACGGACAGTCAGACATTTAGGGCGTCAGTCAATCCATGAGTCGACGAGTCAGCTGAACGATCGGTGTGTCCCTTTCCACAGCTCCCGGAGCAGCACAGTCGCATACGCACCGGCAGGCAGACTAAACGACACCCTATACACATCACCAGCCGGCACCTGCCGCTCACTGCCTGCTGCCCCATGGCCATCTCCCTCGCCATCTGACCGTCCCTGTGTCCACCTCAATCTCTGAGATAGATACACACCGCTCTGCACACTGCACATGGTGATCCGCTGCATAACTGCCAGAAACCGCTCGGCAACGGGCTCTGGAAGGGGAGCCCCATCGTCACCCCCACCCCCACTACCCCCACAGGCAGGCAGAAAGCTCCCCTTGTCGACACCAGCCTCCACAAGTCTTGCTTGTAGTGCATCATAAAGGCCTCGTCCGGCCTCTGACAGGTGGAACGATGCTGTGCCAAAACCATCGTCATACGTGCCGATGTGCTCCATCTTCATGTCACTCGGGCGGACCAGCAGCGGCCGGTACGACGCATCGGTCCCGCGGACACCAAAGGCGGCCAGGGAGACACCATCCTCTGCCAAAGTCGACCTGTAGAAGTCTGCTGTTCGGTTGGCTGGAAGGGTGACGTTGGGCGAGGGAAGGGACAGCACCACGTCCACCAGACGGTCCACAGGGGCAGCAGCTGCTTCTTGACGCGTCAGCCGCCGGACCGACGAACAAGGCATGCTGAGGTGTGCCGAGGGGTGGGCGTCATACACCTGAGAGATGTTTGCCCCCCCCCCCC